CATCTCTCACACCTGAGCTGTCTGCGATTAGGGGAGGAGCATCTACCACATGCTGGCAGGAAAGCCTGCGACTCCAGTTCTCCCCCACCACAACTCACACACACACAAAGTCCCCTAGAGTTTTACTACTAGAGTTAACCTTTTTGAATTTAACAACTCTCCAGCATTCAATTCTAAAAATTTGGTGATGGCCCCTTTAACATGTTTTAATCTGCTACTAGAGAAGTTAAGACCTGTTCACATCTAATACAAATTTTTAACGTAGCAGGGCCTTTACAAAATCTGGTGCACTTTTTGTTCAAATACTCTGAAAAATCTGGACACTCTGAAAAAAAAAAACACTGAAGAGGGAGAAGAAATAGATTTCGGTAACACTTTCTATGAATGTCACCTTTGTAAGCATCTATAAACACATTTATAACATGTTATAATGTATTCAAAAGGTATTATAAACATGGTTATAAATATTTATAAAAAAGAATTACACTAAATTATACATTATTAATTGTTAATATAATGCATTATAAATAGTGTTAATAACATGTTATACTGTCAGTGCTAAAAAAGTCAGTTCCAGCTTGGAGAGCGCAAAGTAAAGACAAATACCAAGCTAATGGTGGTGTACATTACCTTTCCCACATCACTCAGTTATTAGATCGGAAAACAGTGACAGTAGCTCTTTACCAGGACTCTTTATTGAAAGAGTCACAGCAAAACTGATATATGTTTATATATCTGTTACAAGCTTCAAATATAACATGGACTGTTTTAGACAATTACCTTAATTAGCTTAATGTTAACATACTAACAGAGTTGAATAGGGGCATGAGCAACCTTTCATATGAATTACACTATCAGGCTCTGGAAAGCATGCCCTGATAGACACTTGTTCCAGGCTGTTCCTGATTACTGATAAGTAGTTTAACTATCCCTGCCCTGGTCTCTCAGGTCATTAATAAATATTTTGTCCTGATTTCTTTAGTGACTCCATATTTATTGGACATAAAAAGTTGTATTATGGCCCTGGTGTATACTGGTGATGCTACCTTATCATAAGTTTTTTATTTTTTACATTGTGCACACTTCCAGTCACCTGTGATTTGAGAATGGGACGTTTTCACACAACACCATGTGATCTTATACATCAGACACCCTTCAACTGTACAAAAGTATTATGCATTTCTCCCCCTGCAACACCTTGTTTCAATACAATATGCAGCTCTCGCTGCTTCAACTGCTGCTGCTCTCTTTTGTCTCCATGAACGGTGGCATTACCAGTCTGGCTTGTTCTGAGTCTTATGTGGGCATTGCTGAACCACAGCCTCCTTCACCCTCTGCATTAGCCTTTGCTAGGACACTGATCACAGTTTATAATGGACAAGGGCTAACCAGGCTAGTTAACCCTCTCTAGAACTGAGTGTTGGGTCCAATCCTGTTTCGCTCCTACCACTTTGCCCTTACCCCGCCATTTTGTGCGTTCACAGCTAGGGGTAGGGTCTCCTGATTTTTGGTGAGACAGATGGGTAGGGTCAAGTGGTAGGGCTACACAGTCCTCTGAGGTTTTTCAGAGGCACACTCCAAAAAAAGCATTATGAAAAAAAAAAGATGATGACAGGCAAGATAGTGGTTCAAGAACCTGGTCATGTGATTGTTTTTCCTCTGGTTTTATATTAAGCTTATTTCATTTAATAGTCTATTCAGGGGATCTTAACTTTATGTAGTAATTATTTATTTACAATGATGGTTCATGCTTTGTTGTTAGGTAAGTTATAATTCCTTAATCCATGTAGATATTCTTAATAGATTAACGTTCCTAACAAACCTGAAATTAGTTTCTTATTAGCCAGCTTCTTGTTTGAATTTTCCCGTTCCATCTTAAATGGTGCATCAGCCAGCATCTTGTTCGTATTTTCCCATTTCACCTTAAATGGTGCAGCTTCAGGTACCGGAAAGTAAGTGCTGCACCATTTAAGGTGGAACGGGAAAACTCGAACAAGGAGCTGGCAAATAGGAGGCCAACTTTAGCTTTGCCCTTCTTACTGTGTTTTGGGGGTTTTTATATTATTTTTTACGTGTATTAAGATTAGACATGATTCACACATTGATGTATTTGCTGATATGTGTGAGATTTTGTTGCTACCGGACCTCACGTTGGACTCGGTTTTTAATGTCAGGTGCAGACTGAAAACTTTCCTCCTGGTCCGGACGGCTAATTAGCATGGTCAGTTATTAAATAAATAAAAGCTACTGAGAGCAGTCTGTGCAACCTAGATTAATCTATGTCTCATGATTATAACAAAACACATTTGGTGAAAATCGGTTGAATAATAAGGAAGTTATGGTCTATATAATCCTGAGAGCTCATCATCTCTCAATACAATTTGTTCATAAGCGGATCTTGACCACTCCAACATGGTGGACGCACAGACGTATCGCCTCAGATAAAGAACAACAGACAACGCGGCATCTAGGTATGTATATCTATCTATATCTACCATTTAAGGTGGAATGGAAAATTTTGAATAAGAAACTAGCGAATAGCTGACTTTAGCTTTAGCTTCATATCACTGAGAAATTAGGGGTGGGCAGTAATAAATAAATACCCCCCCCCCTCCCCAACACCATTTGAAGGCTTATCATTCTCTAAATTTAACTTAAGACGAGCAGAGAGGTAAACTTTACCGCTTCTCTACTATCACTGCAGACTGGCAGGGCCTCCTAAAGAGTGGCTGGATGCAAGTGCAAGTTCGTTTTATTGAAGTCCATGGCAGACACCTGAGCAATAAGCAGGGAAAAACAAGAACATGAGGAAACAACCAAGAAATGAAACAAAACTATGAGGAAAAACTAAAACAACCACATAACAGCAAAGCTACAACTGATCTATGAGCAATGCAGAAAGAACAAATGTACATTCAATGCCAAGCAAAGACAAGACTGAAACAAGAGGTATATACAAACACTCAAGATGAGAGACACCTGAGCACAATGACAGGGGCGCAGCTAAGAACAAGAAACAGGTGAGCGGTGTGACCAAGGGCAGTGCTGGAAACCAAAACAAAAATACATGGAAGATGTAAACAAAAGCATAAGTAATTTTTTTTTTTTAGGGTTGTCCCATTTTGTAGAGGATGATTTCAACCACTACACCTTGTAACTCAGTTCCAAGGGGGAAGGTGACACCTGAAAACAAGGGGTAGGGGTAAAAATAAGAAATGGGATTGGGCCTTGGAAGCCACTTTGACCAAGGTTTTTTTCTGTACGGCTGCCCACGTGAGAAACACACATTAGTGTCAGCTTTGTCATGTCCAGCGCCCCTGATTGACCCACCCCAGCAGTAGATTTGTCTGACACATGCCTGTCCCAAGATTGAGAGTCTTGATCTGATTTTATCCAACATTGCATTAATACAATACAATGAAAGCTCTTTGAACATGGTATCATAGAAGAATCATTTAGACCCTGTTCAGCCCTGTAGGTGTTAATAAACAAAAGGATGGCACCCAACGATTTTACATCCATACAACTTTATTGCCATTGCACATATTACCAGTATAGGGCGACAAAGTGCAAGGAGGAGGTGGGGGAGAACGACCCCCCAGGTTGGCACCTATTAATGTCATCACAAGAACTGTGAATCAGCTGGGGTGGTCTTAAGCACCAGAGCAGTGAAAACATGTTCTCTGGAGTGATGAATCATGTGTCACTATCTGACAGTAGGATGGATGAACCTGTGTTTGGTGGATGCCAGAAGAACGTACCAGAATGAACATTGCCAAGTATAAAGCTGGGTAAAGAAGGAATAATGGTAAGCTCTTTTTCAGGGTTTGGGCTCAGCCACTTAGTTACAGCAGAGGGCAGTTTTAATGCTACAGCATTCATAGGCAATTATATGTTACTATCTTTCCATATCTGTCCATAGAGGTATACTTTGATTTTGGTGTGGGGCAACTCCAAAGGCCTGCGCAGAGCCCTGATCTTAATCACACTGAGCAACTTTGGGATGAACCGTAACATCAGTTGTAAACCAGGCCTTCTTAACCAACATCAGTGCCTGACCTCACAAATGCTCATTTGACCGAATGGGTACAAAGATGTGATGGTCAGGTGTCCACACCCAGACAGGGCTCTCCCATTACTGTCAGCAGTGTACTGCATGTCAGTTACAGTGTGCCTCAGTGCTCTGTCCCCAGGCCCAACTGGTCCTGATTTACCTAGCTGGACCTTTCAAATTGTTTGTGGGGTTGACCCTAATGAGATAGTCTTTGATGTCCTTACGTGCTGACGTTTGTGTCTATGTACTGTGTATTCAATATAATTGCATCAATCTTTTTGTCCCCAATCCAGCAGCTCCTCCCAGCCCTCTGGTCTGTTCCTTGTGGCCTGACCTTCCTGTAGTTCCTCAGCTAACCTCTCCTCCTACTGCACCACCTAATCCGTCCCTTACCCCTGACCACTAAGTCACAGTTCATTACCATATACCACTCCCGCACCTATAAACCATGCTTCCCCCAATTATGTTGTTTTTTAGGGTTGAACTGACCCGCCCCCACAGGCCCATTTTGACACCAGCGTAGAGTGTCTTTGCACATCAAAGACTTTCATTTGTATTGACTGGACTTTGCTGCTTTAATACAGCTGTTTGTTGCATCGAGTTGACTCTGTCTCCCTCTGTGTTCTTACTTTGTGTTTTTTTGACACATGAGATTGTGTGTGTGTTTGTGTGTGTGTGTGTGTGTGTGTGTGTGTGTGTGTGTGTGTGTGGTTTATTTGTTATTTATATTGCTGGATGTAGAAATGAGGACACTTTTAGATAAGAGAGTATAGGTAAAGCAATAATGAATAACTCATTTTATGATATTATAATTATTTTGTGTTGTAATTGTTATGGATGATAAGTTACAAACATATTTTAGTAAATCAATCAACAAATTAACAAAGATGTCAGTGTGACGTGTGAAGATGAAAATGAGAGAGAAAGAGAATGAGAGAGAGAGAGAAAGAGAATGAGAGAGAGTGAGAGAGAGAGAGGAACAGCTAAAGCACAGCAGTGTTATGTTTGGTCTGACCAGCAGCACAACTTCACAAACTTCAATGCAGAGTCTTCCCAACTTTTTTGTTCTCTCAACCTCGCTATCTTTCACCAAGTGAACTAACCCTCGGCTCTGAGTCTTGGTAAGATCACAACATAAGAAAAGTTCATTTTTACTGCATTTTTGTTGTTGATTTCTCTTCTTCAATTATGGCACTGTAACTGTCTGACCAGTGATACTTTATGTATTCTTAAAACTGATAAATGATTATTAAAACCACATCGTAAAAAATGTCTCATCAGATCAACCTGAAAAAAATGTACTTAATATAGTAATAAGCAATTGGACTAGATTTATTCAACTCAAAAATGACTTTGATTCAAATAATTCTTCATTCACAGTATTTATTTAGGTTGAATAAAACCAGTTCATTTACTTGTTACCACAGTCAATTTTAGGTTGAATTGATGAGCCATTTTTTACAGTGTAGATTAACATACAGATACCTGACCATGCCTATTTTCCTTTTGTACATAAAACTGAATATATCCCACATATTACTCAACTATTTTAAGTTAAGCAAATGTTTTTTGATGATTTTGTTCACTCAGAAGGCATTTTTGAGTTGAATCATGGCAGCTTTGAAACTGCAACGTTCAAAAAATTGTACTGCAGTTGGTAGTAAATGAACTAATTGATTGGCAAATAAATTGACTAGTTTTATTCAAACTAATGATTCTTTCAATGTAATTTTTGAGTTTAATAAAACTAGTCTAGTTCAAATGCTTGTTGAATTGATGAGCTTTTTTACTGTGCACTCAGTTATACACATTTGTTAAGTAACCTTAATAAGACTGCAGTACAGTTTCATTTTTGAATGTGACAGTTTCAAAGCTGCCATGGCAAGAGACTAAATTCCAACAAGCTGCTTCAACTCAAAAATGCCATTTGAGTGAACAAAATCATCCCAAATATTCTAAAAACTGTTGCTATTTTTACAGTGTGAAACTTAAGTTAGCTGTGAAATACAGTGACATTTTGTTTTGTTAACATGATCTTGTTGGGTAACTTACTTCTTTCCCACTGGCCCCTGGCTCCATCTGTTTGCATAATGTATGTTTCATTCAGGCTAACCTTCCTCATGTGTATGCTTTTCATATTTGCATAACTCATGTATACTTTGCATATGTTTGATTTTGTATTGTTAGCTAAAAGGGCAAGTTATTCTTCTCCTTGCTGCTAAGAGTAGGTCTGTGCTGGCGGATGGCCACATTCACACTAAGGGTTAACTCTTCACTGTTTGTCAAAGTGGTCAATATTCCTTAATCAGACAAAGTGACTAACTCAAAAAGTTAAAATCATTAGAATTTATGAGTTGTACAAACATGGGCTTACATTAATCTAATACACAAAAAATTGGTTATTTTAAAATGCAGTGTTTAGTATTTTTAAGTACATTGAATTTAAACTTGCTAATTTGTTCATCTATGCTTAAATGTTCTAGGGCAATGGATTTGGGCATGCACTGTAAAAATGGCTCATCAGATGAACCTAAAAAATTGACTTCATGTAGTAAAAAGCAAGTTAACTTGTTTTATTCAACTCAAAAAATGGCATTGATCCAAAAAATCGTTCATTTAAAGTATTTATTTAGGTTGAATAAAACTAGTTAGTTTACTTCTTACCACTTGAAGAAATTTCACACTGTACAGTGCGTCTGTTTTCCCATGAATATTACTAATCAATATTTTATTTACTTGAGCTCAAGATACTAAGTAGAAGTTTAGGCATAACAGCTTGACATTTCAAGTAATGCTAACTCAAGTTTTCACCACACATTGCTTAACTCTTTTAAAGCAACCAGTTTCCTGATTTTTTTTTTTTTTTAAGTAAATTCAACTTATCCAGATATACCGTGTAATGTTAAGAATGTTAAGTAGATCTGAGTGGCTCATCAGATCTACTTTAAAAAAAAATACTTCATGTGGTAACAAGCAATCAAAATAGTTTTATCCAACTCAAAAATTACTTTGAAAGAATCTTTCATTCAAAGTATTTATTTCATGTTGAATTAAACTAGTTAATTTACTTGTTACCACATGTAAGTATGTAATGTAAGTAATTATTTTAAGTAGATATGATGAGCCACTTGTTACAGTGTAACACCACTTTGCAATGTAAAGCATATGCAAATTTTCCGGCTTGGCATAACATCAGTGATAAGTCTCCCTCAAATAAATTTCTTTCAGCATGCATGAAAGGCTGAAACTCAGCTGTAGATGTTAAATCAGATTGGGAAAACCCCAAACATTTGGGTAAACAGGAAAAAAACTCCTGCAGGTTTAACTTGGAAACATTGTCGTGCAGAACTGAACCATGAACTACTGTAGCACTGTAAACAATGCCTCATCAGTTCAACCTAAAAAAAACACTTTGTGTGGTAACAAGTAATTGAACTAGTTTTATTCAACCTAAATAAATACTTTGAATGAACGATTCTTTCAATCAAAGCAATTTCTTTTGAGTTGAATATAACTAGTTCAATTGCTTGTTACCACATGAAGTCATTTTTTAAGCAGATCTGGTGAGCCACCTTTTACAGTGTAGTTTCTGTAGCATTTAGCCACAATAGAACCACACTCAGCAGAAAGAAATTTGGTATGTCAGCTCTTTCAACACTGACTTTCAATCGGTGTACAATCTCTGCAATACAATATGAATGTGTTAAAATGAGTTTCGCCTAGCAGTGAATTTAATTTACAATTATTTAATACTCAATTTACTTGTGTATACAGCAGTAAACATATGTTTTGTTCATACTCAGTTCAGGTAATTATGTATGGTCAAATGATTTGACCATACATCATGATTATTCTGTGGACTTTGATGCTTAACGCAGATATTAACATTAATCGAATTTGGCAGTGTTCTACTTTTTGATTTTACAAATAGATATCTCATTATGACAGTTAAAAGAGAAATGGGCAGTGTCATTGTTGTCATACCAGTTTCTCAACCAACAGTTTTTTGCCAGAAAGTTTGCTAAATGTTTCACTTCCTCACCTGTAGGTGGGTAAAATGCCTGATATGATGATTCCATTTTCTCATTAATTCTGTCCAGCAGTGTTCAGAAGTGTTCCTTACCTTTTAACTTTCAGAATTTGAGTTAGAACAGAACACAACCTTCTTGTGCTGCTGAATTACTCAACTTTATGACAGCAGTTTTAAACATTGTGTTGATGTAAATAAAATGCCAACAATATTCAAGAAATAATTGTTGTTTTTTTTTCAAAATGACGTTTCTCACATTTGCTTTTTTCATCCCTTTCCTTTCAGAGATGGGCCAGACCAGCAGTAGTCAAGGGTATTTGTTTCCCTTTTTAAAAATGATTTTACAGCAATTTCTTTTCACTGTTTGGTGCACATATTTGAAATGTATTTGTGCACAATACTGTCTACCCTTTTACAATGACCACAGCTAGGTCCACTTTTTTTAGTTAATCTCAGCTCTACTAAGTCAAGCTAGTGATATTACTGATGATTTACTGATGATCACTTTTTACATGTATGAAAGGTACCTGTTTATCTGTTTATTATTTATTACTTTTACTACATACTTCTGCCAATGAAACCACTCCTGTGTAGTGTGCCTAGCAATGAGGTGAGAATTGGTCACTCTCTGAGTGAAGCGGAGAGGCAGCATTTGGCCAGAAGGAGAGAGACCGTTCTACAGTGTCTGAAGCAGCATGGTATATCCTGCACTGAGGTAAATCATATTCTTCAATATTTGACTTTTAGGACCAGATTTAGTGTGGTCCTATTCGTGCAAGCTTCATCTTACTGTAGTCATTCCCAGTTGAATGAATTCCCTCCGTAATCTGATATCTTACATCATATCAAAGTTGAACCCCTGCTAGAAATTTAAAGTCAAGGAGCTTTTTATACTGCCATGCTTGAAAGTCTTGATCAGGAAGAAAAAAAAAACTTTTTATAGATTTTTTTTTTTCAAATCTGAGTTTGGTTAATGGTTTGGTTAATCACCAAGTCATCTTTAGGATTACTGAGAAAGTGTTGCCAGCACTTTTATTAACCACTTAACAGGCCATGGGCCCAAAGTTTTATTACACACTTCTCAACTGGTTTACACTGAAGACCCTGTAGTTACTGAATAATAAGCCTTTGTATGTAATACACCTGGAATGTAAAGTATAAGCTGATATGAGCTGGCTGCAAAAAAACAAACAAAAAACAAACAAACAAAAAAACAGATAGAAAATGAAGTTAGATTGCATAGTTGCAGTTTTCTGTGTCTGGATAATAATAATAATAATAATAATAATAATAATAATAAGCTAAATTAAATGATCATTCTTCAAATAAAATTTAAATAATATTACAAAATGCCCTTTTGAAGTACATCAGCCCCCACCCTTAACAAAGTCTGTGCATGTCACTGGCAGTGACGCCAATATACAGAGCCACTCAGAGCCCAGTTCAAATAGTTGTTGACAAGAAGTGGAAATTCTCTCTAGAAAGCTGAAAGTTCTGACAGAGGATTTGAGTCTTAGCTGCGAAAAGACAAGCAGTTCCATTGAAAGGTAAGAATGTTTTTTCCTTCTCCTTCTCCTTCTCCTTACAGTCCTGGAGATATGATGCTTTTCCAATAGCCCTGGCATCAATTGCCCGTTGGCATTAAATACATAAAGTGAATCGCTCCAAGATGTTAATTTGCATGTCAGGTCTCAGGTGTGGTAAAACCTGAAGCTAAGTCGTGACACTGTGTGCACAAGCAAAGAGGCTTCTGTGCTTCTGTGGGTGCAAAATTCATTAAGGCCTGATTTTATTTAGTAAATCTGGCCCTTAGTTAGAATACTAAACTACAACAAACACTACTACGTTACACACTGCAGTGTAGTATTATGGTATTATTATTGTCATAGATCATTCCTTATTTAATAATAATAATAATAATAATAATAATAATAATAATAATAATCTTTATGTATATAGCACTTTTCCTGCTGGCTCAAAGTGGTTTATAGACAGGTAATAAAGCTTAACAGTAGTATTAAGCTTAACACTAATGTCTTATAAATTACTCAAGAATAAATGCATTATAAACAACTGCATCTATCAACATTTCATCCCTCATTGTGTTTTAGTGAAGAGCAGTAGAAGCACTACAGTTGTTTGTTTTAAGTATTTAAGATTTATGTTTGAATGATGCAGGATGAGGTGCCGAACATCGCAGTGCTGGGCTCTGGTGGTGCTTTGAGAGCTATGGTTGGACTGCTGGGGTCACTGAGTCAGCTGAAAGAAGAGGGACTGCTGGACTGCATCATGTACCTGAGTGGAGTTTCAGGATCTACCTGGTACTGACTCATACTAGATATTTCAATTACTTATTTAGATCCATTTCAACTCATTACATAAAGTTTTTTTCTTCAGTGGATGGTGTGCATCATGTTCAGGGGTGTAGCCTAAATTCTCACAGTAAGGTGGCCAAGTTACACTGAAAAAAAGAACACATTGGATTTACTCAATTCAATAGTGGACATTGGTTTCACACATATCGTTTGCTTTGGCACAACTTACAGAATTGTGTTAAATCAAAATAAACTATTTATGTTCAGTCAACCCAAGTACTTGGTGTTGAATGAACATACATAGTTTGTTTTGATTTAACACAATTCTCAGTTAAATCAAGACAAACTATTTATGTTTAATCAACACAAGTACTGTATGTTGATACAACACTACTGAAATTTGATTTAATAAAGTAAATAAAATTCTTTGATCATTTTATTCCAACACAATTCAGTCCCTTTTTTCCAACACTATTTGATCACAACTCTAGTAATATTAGTTATTGTAATATTTCCATATCAATGTTTCATCATGGTAAAATTTCAATTCCATCAATTTAAAAATGGTTAACTTATAAATATAATTTAATGTAAATATACAAACAGATTAAAAATCAATTAAAATTTAAGCAAATATTGTCTTGTTTAATACCTTTAACTTTTTCTTGATCATTCCTAACATCATCCCCTTCTTTCACTGAAAACAAGAGCAAGTTTTGTTATAAAACTTTTATTCCAGAAATGGAATGAACAGCAGGTGTCCCCATTCTAAATGTACCAACTTAAAATGTCACACAAAATGTCAAATATTTTCAACAACTAGAAAACATAAAAAGCAAAGCTCTGCAGATAGCACTGTTTTAACCTGGTACACCATAGGTGCACCTAAAGTGAAACAATGTCAATATCATTCACATATTATTCATCATGGGCCTACATTTTTCAAAAAACAATAACATTTCTCAGTTTCAACATTTGATATGTTGTCTTTGTAGTATTTTCAATTAAATATAGTATTTAAATGATTTGCACATAATTGCATTTTGTTTTTATTTACATTTTGCATCGTGACCCAACTTTTTTGGAAATGGGGTTGTAAATATGTTAAGGAGATTACCAAGAAATTTAATTAAACGCGTAATTTCACTTTATTTAGTGTGTCCAAGATCATATCTGTAGATGTTAACCTGAGAATTCACTGAACATGAAAGAAGTATAATGTAGACCATCTCAACATCCTCAACAAGCTGATACAGACACCATTCTGTAACTGGAGTTTGACTGGATAAGGTTTTGGGTTGAGGTTAAGTTTAGGGTTAGGATTACACTGTAAAAAGTGGCTTTTCAGATCTACCTAAAAAATTACTCCATGTGGTAACAAGCAGTTGAACTAGTTTTATTCAACTCAAAAAAATTACTTTGATTGAAAAAATCGTTTAAAGTATTTATATAGGTTGAATAATATGAGTTAATTTACTTGTTACCACATGAAGTATTTTTTTAAGTAGATCTGATGAGCCACTTTTTACAGTGTGGTTTAAAGATAAAAATATCAAGACAGGGATACATTACTGCTTCCCCCTGGCAAATATGGATTTATTCCACTTGGTAAATTATGATGACATACCATTACATTTCTAATCTAATTATACTATCCAAGTACTTGGCATTCCGTTTATATGGATTTGCTTGAGAATAATCGAGTTTGATGTGGTTGACTGGTATTACATAAATGTCTATTAAGATTGTTTATACAAAGCATTACTTTACTTTAATAGATTTCTGATAGATAAAGATCTCTGATAGATAAAGATTTATCTACTTGATTTGTCATTTAAATTTGGCCATTCAAACTGTTGAACTCATTATATTTGTTGTGTTTACATATCTGTCCAGGGTGAATGTTGCTGATTTTGAGACCAATTTGTATGGAAACACTGTTACTATTTCTGCCTGTATAACATTCCAAAAACAGACAAATAAATATTTCTAGCATCACAATTTCAACCATCAAAAACCTAAAAACAAAATTTGTCCCTCCATATTTATTTTCCTCCTTATCATTGAGAGACCACATGAAAAAAAAAACATAACTGGGGAGCTATGTAGTTAACAATTAGCATGCTATACCAGCCCTTCAGACAGCATGGAGCAGCTGTTTTTTTTACCTTCTCCCTTATCATTAGCATGCTGCCGCTTCCTGGTCGAAACTGGTGTAACATGTTAAACATCAGCCAGTATTTCTTTTCCATACATTACCTGTCTGGGCACCTCCATAGTGAAAAAAATATTGTGCGTGAGTTTTTTTCATCTTTCTTGTTTTAACATGTTTCTTATCAGTATGTTTTTGGCAGTTGTTTTTCACCCACAGCACTAAAACCACCTGCAGCTCTCTAACCGGACTGTCCCACATTTTTTGGAGCCAATCAGGCAGGGACGGGGTGGAGTAATATGGTGTAGGGTCTTATAAAATGATGTAATACACTTGTGCTGATGTCATTGCTAAAACATTTTTTCCAAGTTATTTGTATTAGTAATACAAGAAATAAACTGACTGATGCACCTTTAATCTTTAACACAGCAAAACCGTTGCACTTTACAGCCTTGTTAAAATGTAACAGCATTTCTCTGAGTTGTTGGTTTGGATAGTAACTCCTTGACTGTCTGTGATGTCTGGCCTGGATAAGGGGTGTCTGGCCGGTATTTTTCCTCTCTCTCTCTCTCTCTCGCTCGCTCGCTCTCTCTTTCTCTCTCTGTTCCGTATGTCTCCTCCCTCATTTGCTCCCTATCTCTGCTACAGGCTGGTTGGATTGAAAGACATCATTAGAGACTTGACGCGTACCACTTGACGGCCAATCATCATGCAGAGTTCCGGCCCTGGAGGAGGGACTTGAACTTTAAAAGCAGCCCGGCAAAGCTCATGAAGGAGCTGGCGTTACCCCTGTGCTCCAAGCTGTTTTGGTGTGGTCCTAGTTGCATTTGCTGTCGCAGACACTTAAGCTTTGTGTTCTTTCTGCTCATGCAGTTTTGTGTATGTCTGCGATAGCTTTGTCTGTGTATTGATGGAGTTTTGTTCAGTTCATGTTAGCTTGTGTTTTCGTGCCTCGCACTGTTAATCACGCTAGCCTTGCTGTTTTATGGCTGTCTAGGCTCTTTTTATCTACCTTTCTCTCTCTCTCATACACTCTCTCTCATGCTTTGCTTTCTTGGGGTTCTGGACAGGTCAGATGGGCGCGCTCATACATTTTTACATACGTAGCTGCCCATTGTATAGATACCTTAGGCAAGGGGCGGGCCCCAACCCATGTAATTATGTTAAGCCATAGGGAAGACTAGTGTAGATAGTGTTTTTTGTTTTTGCTACTAGGTGAGGATTTCAATTAAAGAACTAGCGTAGTTGATTTGTTTGTTTGTTTTGATTATTGGAGTCTTTTGCCTGATCAAATTTGCCCTCAACCAACTCATGAAGTAAACTTGTTTTGATAATTTTGCATTTTTGTATATTGGCTGTTGATAACAGCATTTATTTATTTATTTATTTATTTATTTATTTATTTAAATTAAAGCACTGTCTTGTCCATCTGTTCTCTGAAGGTGCATGGCATCATTATATAAAGAACCAGACTGGTCCACCAAACTGGACACTGTGAAAAATAACATTGTCCAAAGGCTTGCTGATGGCAGCGTCAGTTTGAAGGAAATGGGTGAAAAGCTGGCGAAATACTATTCAGAAAAAGACAACTTCAGCCTGACAGATGTGTGGTCGGTACTGATTGTGTCTAACATGGTGAATGAGGTCAGTATAATTTATACCTCTAGTCATATACCTGTGCTCCAAATATATAATGAAGTTTAGAAACACTCTTTGAAGTTTAACATATTCTGAACTATATACACTGTAAAAAGAGAACAGAGGAAAAGTCGATTGCAACTGGTTTAGAGATTTGAATTAATGTTGATTTTGTTCATTTAAAGTAATGTAATGTTAAACGAAGCGTCAGACACTTGCAGATAAGGTTATGTGAGGCTTTACTATAAGAAGTGTGCTTCAAAATCATTGCATTGTTTATTCTAAATATTTAAGTTGAATAAAACTTGCTTGCTTGATACTACAAGTTCGTTTTTAGGTTAGCATGTTTTTGTTGTAAATATAATTGCTTGCAGATAATATTGTGACCATTTTTAGCACTTTACATTGCCACAAAATAATTGGTAATTCTATGCAAATTAATAACTGATAACTGATTATTTATGCATTAAACATTAATGAAGCATTAGTTAGTAGTTGATGATTCAGTTATTTGCATTTGAGTGTTAATTGATAATTTAGTTTTACATTAGTTCATAGCTCGTTTATGTGCACTAACTGCTGCTTATTACACTGTTAATGAGCTGATAAGTGTGTTTACTCATATAAAGAAATAACAAGTAACTAAGAAATTAGAAATTTGTCTTGTTAATTATATGTTAATTCATCTGCTGATTTATCATTACAAATTAATTACTACCTTGAGTTGCTCCCAGTAAAGTGATCATTTTTACTACGAATTATTCTACACACTTATTAAGTTACTGAACTTAATTTCTTTCTACTTGTTTTGAGTCCCCTCAAGTAATGTGGGAAACCAAGCAGGGATTGAGAACAATTCATTTATTATTATTATTATTATTATTATTATTATTATTATTAGCAGTAGTATTACACTTAAACAAGTCCTTCACACTTGTACATCTTGTACATTTGTACATCACTTGTGAGTGGAGACCACTGGAATTGCTACAGGATTTTATACTAATCCTGATTCTTCTTTGAGATTTATTTAATTAAATATTGAAGGAAACAGAACTCAGGGATCTTTTGATGAAACATCTAAATACTGAGTTAGTTTGTACCTCTACATACTCGTTATTAAATACCGGCAAACTATATACTCCTAATGTTGTTGTTGATGCTGGCAAACCTGTGAAACCTGCATGCCACTAAAACTTTTCTGGTGCTGTTAAATTCAATATTAAACTGATCTTCCCACTCTGATATCTTCATTATTAACTGGATTGAGTGTGGTTTATTTTGTTATTTGATCTTGAGCATGTACCAGTTACTCTTTTTTACAGCAGTGTTTAATGAAAAATGGTAACTTTATAAGTAGCCTTTACTTTATCTGCTATAATGATGCTAATAGCTGTTACATTAGTGCCATGATAACAATACATTCACTGGGTTTCTTATTACTTTTAGGAGCTCTATCAGCTTTTAAAAAAGCAGCTTTTTTACTGTAATTCTTTGAGATGAAGAAAACTAATTAAATGTGCATGTTACTAAATGAAGTCATTTTTTTAGGTTGATCTGATGAGCCATTTTTTACAGTGCAGAACATAACAGAACAGAACCTCACAAAGGGTACAGTAAAGGTCATCACAAACCTCTTCATGAACACATGAACTGAACTGAACTCTATGGGCTATAACAATGAAGAAAGGAGCAGCTGACTATCTGCTACAGCTAGATACCATGTGCCTATGGACCCCAGAGCTGCCTAGTACATGTCTGAGGGTGCCACCTACTGGTGCCTGGTAAAATGACACAATAAAGACGGAATCCTCTACACATTCTTACAACAATCTCAAAATGGGAAATATCACATGTATCAACTAGATTTAAGATGATATCATTTACCCAGAGCATCAACTAAATAAAAAAATGTGCATCCAGGGCATCCATAACTGTCCTTTGCCTAGAGCTGTCCAGAATCACTAAATCCGCCCTCAAGCTAAGAAAACCTCAAAATACAACATTTGCCCACATCTATTACATGATAAACGTCAATCTGAGTGACAGCATTTAAATGCGATGGACACATTAGTCCAAGCCTGCTTTTATCCATTTTTTGGTGTGACAACGAAGTGTAGACTAAGTAGACACTCTTGCAGAGATGAGGACTCGAGTCAGCGAATTGAACTCGGGGTTGCTCTCGACTTACATGTTGAATGATTCACAACTTGACTGTGACACGGGACTTGTGAAAAAAACACAAACAAAACTGATTAAATACAGTGCAAAATTTTTTCTTACCTAATGTGTGTGACTTTGCTTGTCTGTTTTGCTGTGAGTGTGTTATGAGTTGTCATTGCTGCAATGCCATTCTCCTAAGTAGGATTTTTAAGTTTTGCCCTATCTTGCTCGCTGATGTCCTGTAAAATTAGAGGCAAACTAATAAAAATGACTACCACAAACTGTCTAAATCATATACAATCATAACTGGCTAATTTGCGTATTGCTTATGATTGGATGCTTTTTTAGGGTTCTAATAAATTACAATTTGCTTTCTCAACAACTTTCTTGATAACTTTCTCAGCATTCTTGATCCAAGAGTGTGTCTCACTGTAGTCGTTAAGAAGAGAGGGCAATTGAGTACAAGTGAAATGGGAGTTAAAAGAAGACTACAGCTGTCTGTGTCTCTTTAGTAATGAAGTACATTACCACATGGTGTCTTTAATTTATCCTGTTTCTCCGGATTCTGTGAGTTGTGCAGTACTTGTTCGCATAGTGGGAATTGGCTAGCTTTTTTTTTTTTAGCTCACATAGTATTATATTAGGATCACTTGTTTGACCCCTTCTAGGTCTGCCAGCTTTTGAGGCTTTAAAACTTGTTGAGAGGTTAGATGTGGTGGAACACACAGAAGAGATGTTCAAGCAGAGATTCCCAAAGTATTTACAGGATTAGGGAGTCTGAAAGGAGATTACACAATGTCCCATAGGCTCTCACAAGCCCACTCGGGGTGTCAAATCTCAGACATTTCTCAGAGTTTTGGATCCCATTGTAGAAGTCTGTATTCTCTGCATTTCACAGATCGATGAACACAAACTCACAGAGCAGAGGGGTAAATACACCAAAGACCCGTATCCTGTTTACACTGTGATTGACAAACAGTGTAAATATGACCGACTGAATGCAGGTAATTTATCATTTGTCTGTGTGTGTTTTATATGTATGTGTGTGTGTGTGTGTGTGTGTGTGTGTGTGTGTGTGTGTGTGTGTGTGTGCATGGTAAAATGGAACATTTACAGTACTTTTCGTTTGTAGATCCTTGGTTTGAGATCACTCCAGATGAGTCAGGTTATTCTCTTACTGGAGCCTTTGTGGATTCCTCCTGTTTGGGAAGTCAGTTTGAGAATGGAAACAAAATTAAGAAGCAGCCTGAGATTGACATGCTGTACTTACAAGGTAACACAGACCATGATAAAAACAAAATGATTAAGCAGTACCAAAGGGCAAACGTTTCTTTTTAGCATGTTACATATATTTAACTTTTGTAAAATCTTTTTCACTGTAAAAATTGGCTCATCAGATCTACTTAAAAAAAAAAAAAAATACTTCATGTAGTAACAAGCAATTGAACTAGTTTCATTCAACTTAAAAAACACACTCATTGAAAGAATCGTTCATTCAAAGTATTTATTTAGGTTGAATAAAACTAGTTAATCGTTAAACCAAATGGTGTAATGAAAGCAGAGATGTCTTGAGCTCTTTTTGTTAAAGGAAACTGCCAATAGCCTTTTAACAAATCAAACTTGCTCACAAATTGAGCACACCCTACCTGGTCTATACAGTCATCCACCTGTGGCAAAGGAAATGAATCAGGCTTAGTCACTGTATTCACCTTCCGATAAAACCTACAAGAACCATCACAAAACCTAAAAGAACCATCAGGCTTATTTTCCAAAAGGCAGGGAGAGGCCCAGCTGGAAAATGAAGGCTCAGCTATTTTGTTTTAAAGCATGTAATCAACTTCCTTCTCCAACTGTCTTCTCTTATCCAGAGAGACATGGTATTACCACTGCCGAATAGAGGCTGCATCACCCACATCAGTATCATGCTGAATAAGATTTGTGCAAGTGGGGGTATATATTCACTGATCTGTTTAATCAGATCTGAACGTTGCAAGGCAGGCAAATGCCCAAGCATGCTATCCAAATTATGCAGCGCTTCCGAATTTTTTAACTGGCCCAGCAAAACATTCATGAGGGTCAAATTCATCAACTGGCTCTGAAATGGGAAAAACAGAAGGGTGAGATAGCTCCTCAGCACAACTGGCATCAGCTAAAAGAACAGGTTTAACATCAACTTGTACTTTGTCATTTGACACCTCTAATGTTTCTGCATGAGACTCACGGCCATAATAGGGCTTTAACAGGTTAACATGACAGATTCTAGTTGCCTTCCTTCTGTCTGGTGTCTCCAACAAATAGTTAAGATCAGATGTCTGCCTCACCACAGTATAGGGACCAGCAAATTTGGTCTGAAAAGGACAGCCAACAACAGGCAACAGGGTAAGCACTTGGTCACCTGGCTGAAACACACGAACCTCTGATCTATGATCAAAGAGACGCTTCATCTTATCCTGAGAGTGGCTGAGCTTTTCTTTAGCAAACTGACCAGCCTCATAGAGACGCCTTTGAAAGTCACTAACATAACCTAAAACATTTTTAGGTGGGTCTGACATTTTTAAATCGTCAGTCAGTAATTACAAGGGACCCCACTCATTATGTGCAGACACAAGTTGATTAGGACTAAATCCCAAACTTTCCTGAGACGCCTCTCTAGCAGCCAACAATAACCAAGGCAACCCTGATTCCCAGTCCCCTTGCATTTGAACACAGTAAGCACGTAGCACGCTCTACATCATACCACGCCCTTGCGTCGGCCAAACGCTCAAACAGTGAAAAAAAACTGTCAACATCCCTTTCATCAAACCTAGGCAGCAACTGAACATACTTAACTACATCAAAACCAAGTCTCTCAACAGTACCAGCCGAAAATCCAGTATCTGAAACCCTGCCAGCCTTAACCAAATCCAAACGGAAACCCTCAACTTCAAGTCGCTTTTGCTCCAACTGATTCCTAGACAACTCAATCTGCTTCTCCACCTCTGACTGGGTTTGAATAATCTTTTCCTTAGCTGCACTTTCCAATAATATTAACTCTCGCTGTTCAAAAGTCAAAGAAGCTGGCAAAGATGAGGGACTAGGAGAAACAGGTAAGGTCTTCAAAACACCCTTCTCTACCATTGCAGACTTCAATATAACTTTAATGTTTTCCTTCAGCAGTTTATCAGTAATTGATAACCCAACATCATAATGACCAGCAATTTCAAGCAGCTGATCCTTAGAAAACTGATCCAATAAGTCCTCAGAGGGTGACTGAACAAACTGACTAACAGAAGCCATAGCCAACACAAGGCAGACTCAGCAACAAACAACTCAAACAGGAGGGGAGGCAACCGCAATTGCAGTTCCCCCTAACTATTAAACCAAAACTATCTAAGCTCAACCTAGTCTTCATACTCCTTCCAAGAGCTGAGTCACTTTAAGCACCCAAATACCAGTAGGGCAGAAGTCTTCTGGCCAGAGCCACAAAACCCAACCTCTATTTGCGGTGCCCTCAGCCCAGAAGTGGTACAAAAATAAAGGCAATCCACTAAACCTAGCAGAGGGAACTGCAACCCAAACCAACCCACCCCTGCAGAGTACTCACCAAATGACAGCAAAGCAAAGCCCAAAGGATCCATGGGGCCACACAAAGGACTAAAACAGGCTCACCCCAACAAAAGCCTGCTCCAGACCAAACTAAACAACGAGCAAAATCAGCTAATACAAAAACCCAAACAAAACACTGCACGCCCCCAACTACTCAAAAGGAGTAGAGGGGCGAAAAAAAATCCAAACAACAACAAAAAAAGGCGGACGAGCCCCCACATTTGTCATGACTGGCTCAACATCATGACAAATAAAAGGGAAGCACACAGTGAATAAATGAAAAAATTATTTTAATGAGAAATAAATGTAAGGATCTGGTGCAAAAATCTCAAGGACAAAAACTGTAGGCCAAAATAACTCCAAAATAAACAAATAAACTGAAGCATAATGCCCAAAAGAACAAAAGAAAACTGGCCCAACAAAACCAACCTGCCCGGGACACAAACAACAAAACAAAAGAGGAGCTCCCGCCACAAGCACACCACACAGGTGTAAGTAGTGTTCTTGATGAGGCCTTCAGCCCTACCCACTACAACTCCACCTGTAATGGCACAGGCCCGTCACACTTGTTACCACATAAAGTATTTTTTTAAGTAGACCTAATGAACCACTTTTAACAGTGTGCTGGATTAAAATACTAATTCCACACACACGGAATCCAATATCACTAACGATAATAACTTCACAAAGCTTTGCACTGTTTTGTAGTACTGATAAGGATTTTTTCAATCCAAGTAATTTTTTAAGTTAAATAAAATGAGTTAAATTGCTTGATACCACATGAAATCATTTTTTTAGTTAGATCTGATGAGCCAGTTTCTACAGTGTATTAAGGAACAACTGCAATGTACTAATTGGCAGGCCACTTATAACACATTTTTAAATAGAAGCCATTAAGATTTGCCTGGCCCTGGGGCTGGACAATGGACACTTACTTTGGACACTTAATCTTACTGTCTGTTTTTTTATTATTTGTTTGGAATTTGTACAGGTCTGTGTGGCAGTGTCCTCGCAGATATGGAATATATCCTCAAGAAACTACAAGAACTAATCACACGTATGAACCTCCCCATTTAACAATCTTCTCATTTATTCCTCCTTAACGGAGTGTAAATGTTTGAATTAATGGGTACTAAATTGGGTTGTGTTGTATAAGGTCAGAACATGGTTTGCAGCCTTCAACCATAGTCAACCACTCACATATCATACAATATGACATAATAAAATTTAGAAAAAAAATAATGACAGCAAAAGGTTTTTGGTATTGGTTTTGTAGCAAATGTTTTGATAGCTTTTGGTATCACTGAGTAACAATGCTGTATCACAATAATCATTACATTTATTAGAACTTTTGAATGCTAGATGGTGCGTACATTCTGATTTTTCTGGTAAATAAGTCAAAACAAAATTATGAATGCTTCCCATGCTCTACATTTTTCTCAGTCTTGCACAGACATGAGGTAAAAATGTGATACTTTAAGAGCAAAATGAATTTGAATGATTTTTAAGCTACTTTTTAGTTTTTTGTTTTTTTTTAAACTGGCTAATATTAGGCTTATATTATCATGCAAAGTTTTACCTCCTTTTAAGGAACTGATTATCTTAGCTTAAATGGTCTGTATTTGATTGACATCATAATCACACATTAAGGTTTTTGTCCATTTCAGCGCACACTGCTGCCAAAAAACGAAATGTTCCACTCAGTCAGGAAATGGTTAAAGTTAACCCCCTAAAATTCCAGTCTTATTATATACTTATATTTATTATTCAGTAACTACATGAACTACAGTACAAACTAGCTGAGTTCTTAGGTTATAGAAGTGTGTAGTAAAATGTTGGCCATTTTTAAGGTCAATATTTCTCTACATATTTCTTTCATTACTTTTTGCCTTAGCTACAACGGGAAGTGCACAAGAAAGGAAAGCATCACAAACGCCAGATGTGCCTAAAGCTCCTGAGGCGCTCTTAACACTTGTGGAGCTGAACCTTCGTGCACTGAAAAAGGAGGATCTTACAAATCACCTCAAAGCCATGGATGAACACCTGAAAGGTTGTATTCAAAAGCATATACAATAATCCAAAGAATACATAACATTACCCTAACATTAAAAAATGTCATTCTTACACACACACACACACACACACACACACACACACACATATATCTATATCTATATCTAAATATATATATATATATATATATATATATATATGAACACACAACACACATGTATACACAACACGTTTATTCAAAAAAGTATAAAATGGTTTCATATCACCAGTTTTACTCTATAGCTGGTGTCTTATATTAGCCACAATCCTCTCACTCCAGCAGAAAGTGAGACTGCATCCCTGTCCCTCATGGCCACATGGTGAGCGATTACATCCCAAAGTCTGAAAATCAATGTGTAACATTATGAATTATCACTACCGAAACATAGATTTTCTACAATTAAGTTTATTTTCTACAATTTAAGTGTTTTACTAAAAATATGATGGTTTTGTGTGTGTAGAACTGTTCAAAACTGTTTGCTCATCACGTACTGGCTAGTGTTTTTGAGTTATGCTCAACACTAGCTAAAATTGTCACAATCAAAACATTTGGTAAAGTTTGGTAGTGTTATGATTGCTTTGGTCATTCAAAGAGAAAAAAAAAAAACAAGAGTGAAAAGTGGATTGAAGCCATGACCCTGAACCAAAAACAGCTCCATATTAAACAACCAGGTGGGAAATAGGCACAAAACAACACACAAACTCACGGTGAAGGTCACCAGCAGCCACAGGCTTCACCCTGACTGTGACACAAAACCCACAAAACTAAGCCCACATCCAAACACACAACATCCCAATAAACACACATCAACATAAACAACAAACAGTATAAACATATATATAAACTCTCTCTTTAGATAAATTTAAAGAAACAGAGAAGATGACTTTTAATCAAGAGGGGGTGGAGAAATCAGCAAAGATGATCTCCAAAACGGAGTTAAAAGATTTCACGCTGCGAGCATGCAGTTCTATCACTGACATGTTTAAGGAACAGGAAGAAGACGGTGAGTAAAACCTTCTACTGATGCATTTTCCAAACAATACACCTCAGACTAATCTGCTGACTTAATTATACTAAATTACAAACATAATCATAGCTCTGCACGTGTCTTTTTTTCTGAAACAGATTTATTATTTATTTGAATGCATTTAACATGCTTGTTTTGTTACTCTAACAATGATGGTGTTTAATTTCAGTTTACTTGATCATCCTGTAATGTTATAATAAGAAAGACATTCAGTTTTGTACATCATTGTTAATGTAGTGCAGTGATTATTTTTTTATATAGTGCACATCATAATTGAAGCATTTGTGGCCAAAGGTTGAACTTAGATTCTATGTTTCCATCATTACCTTTATAAACTGTAAGGAAATGATCTTCATGTCAGCTATGGGTGCACATTAGAGCACATTACAGCTGTACATTAGAAACACAGGGGTGCAGTGAAACTATAATCAAGTGCTGTAATAAATTGAAATTAGAAATACAATAAAGTACTGCAATTTATTAAAACAGCAACACTACCACACATTTTCAGAAGTCTACTGGTAACTGTACTGTCTGTAATCCACTATACAAATCTCAGCCATGGGAACCTTTTTAATGACTTTATCATATCTAGTCTAAAGGCAGATTATATTAGAAATCTGAAGTCAACCTTATTTTGTTTTATTTAATCTTATTTTGTCAGAAAGTTGGATTGCCATTTTGAGATCTATGGAAAAACTTGTGCACTGGACCTGGGGAACGAATCACAACTATCTCTACAAAATGGAAGGTGGGAAATTAACTATAATTTAATTACTAAGTGATCTATACAGTCACTGAGCACTTTATGAGGAGTGCTTGTTTCTACACTCATTGTATTCACTCATTTTTGACCCCAGTGTGTAAACTTGATGTACTGATACAAAAAATATATATTTTTTGTTTTAGAAGTAAGAAAAGAAGAATGAAAACAATGATTTGTGGTAATCAAATACCTAATATCTAAGGAATGCCTAAAAAATATTAAATTATAAAATAATCTCATTTCAAAGATATAGCAAAGAAACTCTCAGCCATGCATGAAATAACATAGGAAATGAATGTGGGTCATTTTTGGTCCATGTTGTGCATTGGAAAGGTAGAGATACAAAAATGAATTTTATTCAAAAAGTAAGAAGGAAATGTCAAAACAAGAATTTGTGATGATCAAAAACAAGTTAATTGAGGAATTCAAGGAATTTTTAATGATGAAATTAATTTATTGCAAAAATATCAACAATAAAATCTCAGTTGGCTCACTTTTGACCCATGTTATGCATTAAAGGGTTAATATAAAACAATGTCCAAACAAAACTTAATATCTCCATTTTTGTCGATTTGTTTTATTTGTCTACCTCATTTAACAACACACCAGCTGTCCTTTATATTGTGTTAAATGTTTATAATGAATGCACCAATAGAAACGCTCCAAAATCACTTGGAATAAAGTCTCTTTACATTAACATACTTTAAAAGGTAAGAGGTTTCTCCTGTAAACTTACTATTTTAGAGATACTTGCCTTTCCTGGGACAGTGACAATATATACCTTTTAAATTTACACACATAATGTCTTTTGACCTTGTACACATGAATATAAACAAAAGAGCATGTATTCATAAGCACATATATGTTTAAAAAATTTGATGGTAAAAGTATTCAGACAAAACAAATTAATAATATTAGTATTTCTTGCAAAGCTGTTGTCAGAAACAACAGCTTTGAGATGTCATTGAAATTTATATATGGAAATTTATATGTACTGGAAATATAATATAAAATGACAACAACAAGCTATCTTGTTGAGAATGACAAATACAAGCTATCTACACAAAACAAGCCATATACTGAAACTATCTGAAGCAACCCAGACACACACACACACACACACACACACACACACACACACACATATAACATATGCCAGAGACCTGCCAACCTGCGCTTAAATAACCTTCTAAAAATTCTAGATCCCTTTCACTCAAGGAAAGTGATCAAGAAAAAAGAAGTGAAAAACATAATAATGAATATGATTACAGAATGAGTAAATGAAGCCATGGGAGAGCCATATTATCCTTACTAATTATTGTTTGACTGTGTCATCAGTGGAAGGTGTTGACTCCAGTGTCTCTATGTCAAAGACGAGAGAATATGAAGATTCTGGAGCGTTACTTAACTCACCCTACTTCTCAGTACTGAGAAAAGAACGAGACATCGATCTCATCATTTCCCTTGACTTCAGTGAAGGAGATCCTTTTAAGGTACTACACACATGCACACACAGTGAAAGCAGCATTTTGGGTGTAGTCTTAACTATACAGACAGCCACAGTGTTGTGTGGTTTGTTCGTACACCAGTACCAATTTACAACTTAAGTACTTTCATCTGATGATGTACATCTTTCTCCTCCAAAAAGAAGTGCAGTGGTAGTTTCTATAGTCTGACCATTTAAGGATGTATGATGTCCCATAAAGATCTGCTCTGCTTCTTTTCTGCCCTCTGAAACTTGTCAAAGGTGGGTTTCTCACGTTTCAAATGTGCAGTTTTTGCCATTTGAATACTCCCTGACTCATAAGTTTGAAAGCTAAGTAACTTTTGAGAAATCACTGCCATGGACAGAGAGGGAAGAACAGGTGATGATTTTCTCCTCTATCTGGTGAGAATGAGTTTCCAAATGAATATATGGTTTGCTTTATTTCAGCTTAAATAAATATCACAGCAAAATAAATATAGTGATGCATTTTCACAGGTGAGAGGATTGTTTTAAAGGAGGCTCATTAAATCACATGGTTATTTCATCTTTAAGTCAATTTTTTTATTTTTGTTTGAATAAAAGGTGGGGGAGTAAATGTGTATGTTTTCTTTCTCCTTGGATGCACTGAAATATAAAAGCACAAAATCAATCTGTGACAAAAAAACAGAAAAGACAGTCCTGTAATGTGTCCTTTTTGACTTCAGTTGGTTTGATTTCAGTTAGGTGAGGTTAAACCTCAGCTACTTGCATTCCTCTCCCTCAACTGACTGCCCTCCTGCTGCTCTTAGTCACAGGCAAAAATCCCAGCAAGCAGGTTTTTAAAGCTTTTCTAAATTTGTTAATGGAGCTTGCTATGAAAGCTTATTACACTGTTAGCTAGAGAGCTATAGGTTACGGGTACAACATTAGTCCTGCTGAGAATTCAAATATCGGAACACAATACGTCTGTGATCTGCCTGTCAAAAGAAGGAAGTCTGAGTTCTCAAACACGATCTGCAAAAAGGCCGTTAGACAGCTTGTTCTACACACTGCACCTTTTCCTCACAGTCCAGGTAGAAATGGCCTGTTCACTGTAAAAAGTGCAACACAGCAGATTTGAAGTATTTTTGAAGTTTGAATTGATGTAAAAATATTGCTATTGATGAACAAAATGTTGAGCAAAAACAGACAGAAAAAAAGAAAACAGACCATTTCTCCTCTCAGCTGGTCTCTGACTGTTGACTAAAAGGTGCAAAGAGTAGAACATGCTGTCTGATGGTCATTTTGCAGCTAATATTTGAGCCCCAAACAGTGTATTTACAGAAATTACCAGTAAATTGCTTGTTTTGCAGACGGTGGTTCATGCTGCTGAAAAGTGCAAAGACCTTCAGATTCCTTTCCCTGATGTTGTTCTACCTGCTGAAAATACAGAACCACAGGACTTCTATGTGTTCAAGGGTTCCAGCGATGCTCCAACTGTGATTCACATCCCTCTTTTCAATGCTGTTAACTGCAAAGGTAACTACAGCACACTGAAATATACATCCTTGTATATCATTGACTTCACTGATACACAGAAACGTATTGGTATTGGTAATATACTGGATAGTGTGAATTGTAGGCCAACAGAAATGCAGCTTCAAGCAGCAAATGTCTGTTTTCTCAGGAGAAATTAAGAAGTGGGAGAAAAGATATTCCACTTTTCAAATGAACTACAGTCGTGAAATGATCACAGATCTTCTGGAGAAAGCTGGATTAAACATCAAAAACAACAAGGAGAAACTGCTCAAGGAGATTGAAAATGTCATTGGACAAAAGAAAACTTCCAAGCTTGGAAAAATCTGATTAATGAAGGAAAACACATAAAATAAACGTGGGGAATGTCAGTCTTTTTGGATCTGGGTAGTCAATAAGTTATTTTCATGTATCAGAAAAGTAACAAATAATCAATAATCAATGTGTGTGTAATGTAGTAGTAGTTATTTTATGGAGTACAGAATATCAGATTTGGGTGCATTTGTTTATCATTTTGAAGTTTTGACTTTGTTTTGTCTGGAAAAATCTGGAATGTTCATCATACTTTTCTTTCATGTTTGCCTTCATGATTGTTTATTTGGCGTCATCTTTTAATAATAATTGTAAATTGTTTATAAACTAAGGATTATATTAACTTACAACAGTAATATTGACAAAAAAAATCACAATGACCAATAAGAACCTTGTCTTGATTACTGCAATGCTCTTCTCTCTGCTCTTCATCTCCACATTCTAAAAAAAAAAACAAAAAGTGCAGCTGAATGGCTGCTTATATCTGCCTCTGTGCATAACCATATTACACCCATACATTAAGATCTGTGCTGGTCACTCATGTCTCACCAGATTACTTGTAAGGCACTACAACCCTGTTTCAAAGTTGGGAAGCTGTGCAATTCCCATTAGAAGGCAAAACCATCAGGTTTAAAATGCAAATGTTTCTAATAGTGTTCTTTCAGCAGGGTGAATATATATATGTTTATGAATTATATATATTTTATAAGCAACTAGGAATGGGACTTTTTGTCAGAGGTGTGTAGAGCAACCTTAAGCTATATTCAAGTGAAAAAAAAAAGTTGCATAAAAGTTCAATGAAGTAAACTTCATTGAAGTTTACTTCAATGAAATAATGACTCACTAAAACACAACTGAAATAGTGGTAGGAGTAAAAGGTATCAGGAAAAGAGCTAAAGAGGAAAAGATCAGCAGAAAGGTTGAGAAAGAAGTTCTTAGATCAGGCAAGGGTGTTTCAACAGTGGAGAGACCTCCAAAAGGTGACGGTGATGTGTTTAATGGTGGAGAGACCTCTGAAAGTTGACAAGGCTGAAATTTGCTTCCTATTTGCATTTTTCCAGTTCCACCTCAAATCATGCAGTGGTTCCATTCTGTCGCCTGAATGTAATTGCTGCCCATTTATAGTGGAACGGGAAAATTCAGCTTCATCGAGAGCTGAACGGCATGAAAAGGGATGAGGAGGTTGCTGTCTTTCTGCTTGACAGGTTGGCAACATGAACTTATTTTTGCTGTTTCACAGAACCAAGAGGTCAGTATTGTTTTGTCACGTTTACTCATGTGGTTAGCTTTGCTTCAGCACTTGTAGTGACAGTTTGCTAACCCACAATACTAATGTTAGTTACATTACTTGCTGTGTCTCTGTTCGCTCTAATGTTATGTATTGGTATTTGTCCATACAACTTTGGAAAGGGTTTTATGGCCATGAAGATCCAAAAAAAAGTAGTTTGCTAGCCCAGTGTTGTTTGCCTTTCTGAATTTTGGGGGCGGAACTCCTGAAGGAGCACTGAAGGGAGGGGCGTATTTGTTTTGCTGTTAAGTATCAAAAATCATTCTCCAGAATCATGTACTGCGCCTTTAAGTTGTACTTCATTTTAAGATAACTTACCATTACAGTCCTTCATCTTCAGCATCTTCATCTTCAATGTCGGAGCAGAAAAAAGGAACTTTTTTTTTTCCACTGTTAGATCTAAAATTGTATCATACAATAAACATTGTATCACACTATTAACATCAAATTATCACAATTCAGAATATTTAGAATCTGTTTTGAAGTGTACATGCACTTTATATTTACACATTCAATATGGCCAGACATCACATTTATCACTAATAATATCATACTGCTAATGCAGAATATTTCATCGTGAGCATTGTTTCAAGCACACTACACTGAAGTATAGGTTTAACACGTAAATAACACATTGTTTAGAAATGTTTTGTTAAAGTACGATTTCAACATAAAATAAGAGCAGTTCATTGCAAACACATTTTTAATGTAATATTAATGTTTTTGAAGTATTTTTGTAGGGCAGGAAAACTCCAGGAACAGATTAGACACCCACTGAATTATACATCTACCTGACACTTTATCAAGCGTTTCAGTTATAACCTTCATGAATATTAAAACAACTGCTAAAAATTAGCATGAGGCATTAGTCAAAGGCTATGGTTTAATTTTAAGGTTTGTTCTAACAGATTTTTTTTTAAACATTGTTATAAGGTGTTAATTAAGACTTTATTTAACATTATTATAGACTTCAATAAATTTTTCATTACTGCATATTTCTTACTGTCCCAATTGTTCAATCACATTATTAAACACATTTAAAAAGTACTTGATTACTATCAAACTACCTAATAAAATATAAAAATATTAGTTCCTATTTCAATCATTATTTAATGATTAACTAACATTACTTAACCATTTAGTACTGCTTGCTTACTCTTGAGTTCATAGATGTACTTTTAAACATGTAAGTAGGTCCCTGTTTCTGTTCATGTGTGGTACATAATGTCACAACTGATCATTTCTACCATATTACCTAACTCCTTACTCAAAATCTACATATATCAATTAGACTAGCAAAGCTTTGATAGCACTAGAAACAAGTTGATAGTCTACAGAATATCTACTTAATGTCTACAGCTACAGACTGGACTATCCAAATAAAGTGACAGCTTAAATGGACAAGTTGATAGTCTATAGACTATCTACTAAACAGCTGGCTTCAAAATAAACAGAAAACATGACTGAACTGCAACAGCTATACTGCAAAGAATTATATCTTGGTAAGTCAAATCATCTTATGTCTTGTTAGAAACACATTCTCATTTGTGGCACTTTTGTATGAATAAGACTCAAAATATTATTTTCAGGATTTTTTACTTTTTTGGTAATTTAATCTACTAAGGATTTCTTATTACATTAGCAGATAATTTAACTTCTTTAAAGTAGTATTTCTTATCTGCATTACATACACAATCTACATTAATTCTTGAAATGAGCATTATTGTAATCTGTATATAGTCTCAAAATGTGGAACAGTAGATCCTTAGACTGCATTTAAGACGATTCAAGACAACAATTTTTTGCAGTGTAAATCAATTTTGCTACTTTAATGGCACCACCTCTGTGTGCACCATGTTACATATTAAATGGCAGTAGCTCTTTCTTCTTTTTCATGTCAATTATTTTTGAGGCAAGCTCTCCCACAATTCTACTCTGACATAGCTTAGCCAGTTCTTGCAGCTTGTAGTCACCCTGAAATTCATCAAGAATAGTGCAATCAGCAAAATAGATTTCTGCGATTACTGCAGTATGCTTGACTGCATTCCTGGAGACATGGGCTTTTTTAAAGGCCTTGGACATTCTGTAGCCTTTTTGCACCAATTTCAGGACATTTCTGTATCGTGCGATGACTTCCGTAATGTTGCCTGCTGAAAGAAAAAGAAAACAAAATATAAGTGACACTGTAGTAATATTAAGGAAGTAAGCAGTAGCTCAATAATTACTAACACTTTGGTAAAGATGAATAGAAACAAAGATCATGAAAAATTCTTTGCAGTCATAATTAGCTCAACCTCACACTGAAAATAAGAGAAAAATAAGAGAAAATCTGTAAATTACTTTAGTCTATGAAAACAAAAATGCTTACTTTAAACAAAAAAAACAAAATACAAAACCACACATGCCACAGTTATTGGCATCCCTAGAAATCCATATGAATGAAATGTATCTAAAGCATGTTATGATATATTCATAGTATTCAATTATGTCATTAAGAACACCCCATCACCATTTTGGTAGGCGACCTGTAACTCTGATCTGAGCTCGTCTCGTTACCATTGCTGCATCTACAGCCCTGCAGGTAGATGATTCTATAACCAGCCACAGGAGCTGCTGGACTGTTGAGCATCTCACTTGCTGATATAACGCTGCATTCCAAACCACACACTTCTATCCTGTACTTACTAAACTGCTATTTTTTGCATACTATTCAGTGTGCTAGTACGCAATTTGGGACATGGCAATAATAACGCAGCATGAAATTTCAGCCATTTAGATTCCAGCTTTCATTCGTTATCGTTTGTCACAGAACAAATCAAATAAAGTATATACCTTAAATATAAACACTCAAATATATTGGTTAATATTTAACATTTAGTTTACAGTGTCCCAAAAACAATTGGTTATGGGTTTGTGAAGTCCCTACTCACACTGAGGAGTAGATGCCACATCCATGCCAACAAACTATACACTACTATAACTTTGGAACTGGGTTCTGTAGTGAAATGAGACAAAAATAGAGCGCTTTTTGACAATAGAAACTCAACATGGGTGTGGCATAAAAAAAGGTGGTTGTACACAAAAGAACCTAATCTCCACTGTATTCTCCAATTAAGTAACCATTTTATGAGATGATTCAGTGTTTTTTTTATGTTGGCAACTGGAGATTGCAAAAAGTACTAAATGCACAAATGTTAATAATTGTGATATGGTTTTGTTAAAAGCTTTGTTTTCTTAGACTAAATGTACTTCAAATAAAAGTTAGGTTTCTCCCATATTTTCTTTCTGAGATTGAGCTAATTAACCACAAAGATATTTTTAACCACAGATACTTTATACCAAAATGGGCATCATTCTTAAAAGGTCTGTTACTTCTTTTTACTACTTACCTGACGTACCACAACTACAAAAAACTACAAATTGAATATTATTTTTTAAAAAAATCTGCAAAATGTATCTATCAAGTAAAAGTCCCTAATTTCAGCACTTTTTACATGGAGCCTTAATAAAGCAGTTATTTATGTATGTAGCAATAGGCCTATTTTTGTTGCCTTAAACGATGGCTAAATAGGATTGATAACGACTGATCAATGATGCCTGACATAGTGTTTTATAATAGATTTGGCATTAGATATATTCTTTAAAAACATGTTGGTACATCAGTCACTGAGAAGAAAAAGTGCATAAGCCAATAAGTCATCACTGTCTACTGCAGCTCAAATACTATTAC